ACTGGCCACAGCGGGCCTGTGGCTGCTAGTGTCGACTGTTCATCCACTTCGCTGCCACCTGGTCCAAAACTGCTCGACCGGTAACGATCGAGATGGTGTCTTTCAAGGACTTTGCCGTAATGTGTTATGGAAGGTTTTCGGAGACTGGGGGGCTTAGCGAGTTTCCTTTTCATGTCCAGCGTGCCTACACTGGGCTCCCAGATGCTGCTTCGTACAGTGGAGTTTTGATTATCCCGCTGGTGAGGCGTATGAATTGACAGCTCTTTTCGAGAGTTCATTTTCAGCGCATTGAGAGTGCTCTGCCCACTGTGATGATCCTGTGCTGCAGAAACTTTGACTGAATTACGCTCGCTGACCAGCTGGCCAATATTGTCGTTTCCCTTCCGTTCATAAACCAAAAGCAGTGGATTACCTAACAGTGTCAAACAGTGTTTGCTACGACAGGTCTGCTGACTCTCGAAAGTCCGAAAGTAGGAATTATCAGGCTCACTATCTGAATCCAGAATGGTGCTCTCGTTGGCATTGTTGCCCTCCTCCGTGTTCTCCCTGGGTTTCTGCTGCTGGTGCTCCTCGTCTAGAGGTTCAATTTGAAGTGTCTCATTCACATCATAAAGGATGGTGTGAACTTTCATCTCTCGGTCCTCCTGCCGCACGATACGAGCCTTCTTAGCAACCACGTTGACGTCCGTGATGACCTTGGCCACATGCTGGTTGCGTAGACCGCCCTTCCCTTTGGCGGGTTCCGCGCGTTCCCCCTCGGTCAGCTCAACCTCGTTAACAATTTTAGCAATCCTCTGAGCCCTCCCGAGTCTCTTGTGCAGTGTTTCCTCCACAATCTCCATGGTGGCGGAAGTGTCCTCCTGCAGAATAGCGGTATTACAGTCCGGTGGGCTGGCAATATTATATGCCTTGGCAGCAGCGCTTTTTGCAGACGAACTCTCCTCGGGAGACATTCTGCTTGGCGCCTTGAGGGAAATCGGTTCCTCTGCCAGCCTGAACTCCGGAGAGCAGACAGCCATTTTAGAGGCGATATTTACTGGTGGGTTGCTGTCAGCAATGGATACAAACAGCTGATTGTTTGTCGTTTCCCTCGTCACTTCCTTGACGACCGGTGAGGGTTCTGTTGTGCCATGCGCCGGTGACGGGGTATACCTTACCTGAAGGCGGATTCTGTTAGCATTCCTGGAGTCTGTCGTATTTCCCTGTTCTTCTAGGGAGGAGTGCTTTGAAAGAGAAGTATCGACCAGCGAATCCGCAGGTGGTCCAGTGTGAAAGTCGTCTGCTTCAGAGTCATCCAACGACTCCAACGACTTCTCCAACGACTTCTCGCGAGAGAACAAGTCTCTATCTGGACGTCGTAGAACAATTGAAACAAAATTGTCGCTGTTCTCCGTGTAAATGGGTCCGTCAAGGCAACTATTGACATTCCGGCTGCCGTCACGACTGCTGGCTGGGGACTTGCAGGCGGTGAAACTAATGTCCACATCTACCGTGATCTTGTGCTTCCGGCATTTTCGGCCTCCCGGACGGCTACC